GGTATACATTCTTCGGCAAAGTTATAGCTGAACTAATTTCAAGCAACTTTGGCCGATTTAGAGCTATTTTCTTGAATTGAGTTAGGGTGGCTCTTTAAAAAACAGTGTTTTTGCTCTAGTTTTCTTATGTACAATTTCTCAGCAAAGGTGTGCTTCAAATAACTTTTAGATCTTAAGAAAGTGCAAATTTTTGCTACACAAAGCTTGTCAATATCTTTCGCCGATCAAGAGTTATTGACGTTTTTATACTAAAAATATGCACTTTTCAAATGTTCATATCTCTGGTTGGGGCAAAGAAAAAAAAGTCTAACTAAGTCTAAGTCTAAAAGTCTAAGGAACAACAAGTTTCAATTTCAGGCTCAAAACATATCATTCCACTGCTGTGATTTTATCTAGGCTGGTTCCACATTTCCTTTGTGGTTTGTCTTCATAAGGGCTGTACTGCAATGGCTGCTTCTGAGCCCCAGGCAGAGTGTATTTTTACAAGTGGCTTTGAAACCAAGGTGGAGCCTCAAACGAACTTGTGACTTCCCGATATTATGATGGAGGTGTGGCGGATCGCTGAACCTATCAAAGGAGAACATTACTCGGGGAATTTCAGACAGGTAAACCAGAATGGTATATGTTGGTTCCTGTCAAGAAGTGGATCATCTACAATTGGGATTGCTACGCTGAAAAGTGGCATAGCGTCTTGTTGCAGACTTGGTCAGATCGTTCTTTTTTATCGTTTTTTTTTTGTTAGTTTGTACTTTGTTTCCGTGAATCCATGTTTGAGGTTGATCATGTGCCCACGGTTTGAGAAGGCATAGACTGTGCGTGTGATCGAACGTGACATTTGTTTTTTTTAACCATAATCGGTTGCTGATCTGTTAAAAACCAGGCCCAGGAGACGATTTCTAGTTTTTCAGCGAGTTCATTAAGACAAAAGAAGACCTGCGAGAGCTGCATCTCATTGTTTCTAGTTCTACCTCCCTGTTATTTCCCGCTGAGAAGTTGTTTCAAAGACAAGTAGAACCTCCATCAGGCATCCCATCATTCGTCCCATCATTCGTCCCATCATTCGTCCCATAATTCGTCCCATAATTCGTCCCATAATTCGTCCCATAATTCGTCCCATAATTCGTCCCATAATTCGTCCCATCATTCGTCCAATCATTCGTCCCATCATTAGTTCCATAATTCGTCTCAGCGTTGAGTCGCAGCGCTGAACCTGACAATTGGCCACGAAAAGGACGCGAAATATGACTCAATCAAACGTACTTTTCGTCGAGCAACGAAGTTTTCAGCTCCGGTGTACGTAATATTACATGACATGTTTGTTTACGTCTCATCTTCTATGTCAAAGACGGATTCCATCACGTGTAAAATTAGTTATTTCTAAGTGTGCATCAAAAATCGACTACATACATCCGAACATTTTTTATCTCAAATCGACGGAAGACATTCCGCTCAACTACCATAAACTGGACTAGTTCATGTTGATCTTCGTAAAGCTTCGTCTACAATTTGGACTTCTACATCAACACATGTCAAGTTGCCTTCAGGTTCAATTGGCTAAACTTGGTGAGTTCGTTCCATTTTGTAAATTTTTATCTTTTCAAACCAGTAACGTTGGGAGATCACCTTTTTGTGGTGCGTTACTGGTATAAGATCAGGATTTTCCAGTAATCAAGGATCACATCATTCATGTATGCTGCAGTGCAATAACATTTTAATTGAGGTACATATCTTAGAAGCTTACATTTGTGCTCTTAAAGTTTCGAAGTGGTTACGAGAGTAAGGATCTCACATCGAAACACCTTAATCGTTTGTTACATACCTATACAAACTTAATCGTACTTTGATGCGATGCGCTGTGGATTGTGAGATGCCCGATGAACCTGAAAGGATCGTTTCTGCTTACTAAGCAGAAAATCCTGAATTAAACACCAAACTCTTCCACAGCACAGCACAATTTTTGTCTTCATCTTGTTGGGGATGGTTTTGAGCCCCAAATGCAAAATGATTATTATCATTTCACTCAAATATAGCACTGTATAGTATAACGTGGTGTGTTTTTTTCACACTCTGATCGATATACAATTATATCTTCATACTGAAAAGATGATAATATCTAGGTTTTTGGCTCTGGAATCGATAACATTTAATGTAATAAAGTTTCCCAAAACGAAATTGATTTTCTGCTATTTTTGAATCGTCCTTCTCCAATTTGTATGAAGCTTTGCGTAATAGTTTGTAATGGGCAATGATTGACATTTTTGCTAAAATTCTGCCATTTTGGATCTTGTTGTCTTTTCAAAATGGCGCACGCAAACGGCATTTCTGATCGAAATAACGTCTGGGACAAAGTTTTAAATAATTAACAACAATTTTAAGAAAACAAATTATTAGTCAATGTATAATGAAATCATTTCACTGTCACGTATGTAAAGATTTTCAAAACAAACAAAATTCATCTACACTGGGTTGAAGCGCTACCCAACAAACAATTTGAGCTGCTTAAAGGCTGAATAAGCTATTTTTTAGATGAAGAAGCAAATTTTTGACTGAATAAGCTCTTGTTCTGCTTCCAATGTTTGTTGGGTAGTCATGGAAATTGATAAAAACAGACACTGCTCTTTCGAGCTCAGTTCGTAAAGGCACAGCTACAAAGCAAGACCATGCTGGAAGTGGCTGTGTTCGATTCCCGGTCCGATCTAGGCATTTTTCGGGATGGGAAATTTCTTGACTTTCTTGGACATAGAGTATGATTGTACTTGCTTACTAATTATACTACTTACTTAATGCAAAAATGCTACAGGCATCGAAAGCTTTCAATTAATAACTGTGGAAGTGCATCTAGAACACTAAGCTGAGAGCACGCAATAAACTATATTGCGACAAGCAATAAGCTGAAAATGCGAGAAAGAAAAAGAAAAAGTATGCGCCTGAAGCCGCCTATTAAATAAAGGCAATTTCACGATAATTATTGTATTTTATTGCAGATCTTTAATCAGTAATTCAAATCCTTTAATTCATTGAAATACCTTAAACGTATAATTTTATAACGCACTCTTGATGTTTAAATGAATTTTGGTTTCTAGTCCATAACATTATCTTTTTAACCTTCTTACAAAGAAGGGTATAGATATCACTTGAAAAACCGACTATCGATCCTAGGCCCGGAGGGCCGAGTGTCATATACCATTCGACTCAGCTCGACGAGATCGGAACATGTCTGTGTGTGTGTGTGTGTACGTGTGTATGTGTGTATGTGTGTGTGTATGTAACGAAATGAATGCGCTCACGTTTCTCAGCAACCGCTCAACCGATTTGGACAAACTCGGCGCCAAATGATAGGTCTTGGGGTCCCATTGAATCGGTGAACCGGTTCCGGAGATATGGCCGGAATAAGATCCGGTGAATATGGGCCTTCACGCTGGATTTAACGGAAAACGTATCAAAACCATCATGCGACACATCAAATTACTACAGAATTCAAAAATAAGATCAATGCAAGTCGTGAATATGAATTGAATTAAAACCCATTAAATCACATTAAAATACAATGATAAGGTGATTGGTAGCCTCACCAAATAGACTACACCCGGATATATTCCGGGTACCCCCAGGCAGTGGCGTAGCGTCACTGGATGACACGGGGGTGGGGGGCTTGGTCACTGATAATGACAATAAAATAAATAAACTTGAATAAGTAAGAAGGGTCTGATCACACCATAGGTGGATAAATTCGGGTTTTTTTTTCATTTTACTGTTTGACTTCAATTTACAATGTCTTCTAATGTTGGTTTCGACCAAGGTCGCAAATACTCATTTCAGCTAAAATAATGTTTTTCGGAATAATAAAACCAAAAGATGGTATGATGCCATGTTTAACTTGTAACTCACAAGAAGAGGTTACAAAGTATGCGTTTGAAACATAAAACCTGTAAATTTTGCTTTCCATGAGTCACAATCAGCGATTTGCTGATCGCTGAGTGAGTGAGTGAGTGAGTGTGTGAAAAAATCGCTGATTGTGACTCTCATGAAGTGAAATAAACTGGTTTAATATGTCAAACACATTATATGCAACCTCTTCTTTTATCTTACCAATTCAAAATAGGATCTTATTATTTTGTAATTAAAAAAAAAAAACATTGTTTTAGCTGAAATGAGTATTTGCAACCTTGGTTTCGACTGGTTTATTGGAATTACTTTATGGGGTGGCATTCTCAGTCTTGAGTAATAACAATGTCTACTAGATACTGATAATTCATCAAACCCCCATCACCAACTTCAACCAGTACGGCAGCCTTTGTTAGTATAGCGGGGCTAAATACTTGCTAAGCATGATGCACCATTTCAACGAACAACTAAACATGATTGCGTATGTGAATGCCCGTGTTGTGGTATCTTAGGAAAATATACAGCAGCATCAATTGGGAGAAATGATGATGCACTTTTGTTTACATTTGCTCATTATATTCCTTACGTCGCGGAAACTTTTCCCAGAAAATTACTTCGTGGCCAATCATTTTCCTCAATGCATCTCTACACTCACTCTCACCCGACCGAGGGATAGTCCTTGAGTACCACCGTCGTCGTGGGTGGAATGCATCTCTGACCGCCTTCTCTCTTGAAAATCCCTACTCATGTCTTACTCTCTCGTAGCCATTCTCCCGCTCCCCTCTCGCTATTTGGCTTCAGTATAAAGGAAGCGAAGAGAATCTGCTCCCACCGTTCGCCGTCATCCTTTTTCCCAGAATTCGACTCTGGTCAAACAGGGAGAAGTGCCAGTTTTCCACCAGGAAGTAGCTCTAGCCCCAACAGCGCGCGACACATGCAGAGCAAAAAATGAGGAACACGAACTCCCCCGCCTAGATTTCCCCCGCTGCTGCTGGCTCTGTCCTGGCTCGGTATGTTGCTTTCGCTCGCACCGTAGCTCTGTCTGTCAGGCAGGCAGGCAGGCTGTTATAGTCGGAATCGAACGGAACCTCAGTCAAAAGCCGACCGAGATCGAGTTTGGACGCGTTTTTCGGAAGATCCTTGCGCATCGCCGCAACACCGGTTTCGTCGTTTTCCGTCTATCCGTGGAGGTGGAAAAAAATATTCGTCCGCCCCTCCCGGCACAGTTTTGTGTACACAAAGTCCGATTTTCAATCGAACAGTTGAGATCAGTGGATGATTAGATTGAATTGGTCCACGAGGGAGAAAAGTTTGTTATCCCAAATAGAATCCATTGAAGGCTGACCCACAGTTGTGGGTACCTATCCTCTGCTGAACGAGAAGAACTTTTGGGAGGTGAAAAATTTTCCGGGTGTGTTTCCTCCCGCTGCGGCTGTACAGACGAAAATTGAGGCTAACAGCTAACAGCAGCAGCAGCATCGAGAGCGAGAGTTTCACGTTCACGTTTCGGTGTTTTGCTTCAGTGAGTCGACAGGAAATTTATTGGAAGTGGTGTTGAGACTCTGACCTGTCCCTTGCAGGCCCATCCAGCTGTAGCCGTCAGTCTAGAACTTGAGCCAAAGTATCGGAATCGTTCTCCACTCGTGTGTAAGGATAATTGTGATAAAATTCGATGAAATTTCAACCTCCCCCAATCCTCCAGAGGTAGGGCAGAAGAATAACGAGGATCCAAAAGGCCAACGCCGACAAGGGGCGTGTGAGTGTGTTTTATTTTCATCGTACGTTCCGTTTCCCTCCCAAATAGACCTGACGGACGTCCCGTGACCCGTTCATTTAACATTTTCTGGATCGTCGCGCCCCAAGAGAACGTGTATGCGACGGCGACGACGAGTGCGAATGGGAATGAGGATGGATGATGCGATGATGGTGTCCGGTTTTCGGGCAGGACGGGGCGCTTTTATTTGGGACCATTAGTTTAGATTAGTGCATGCAGGGCTGCAGCTGCATCGGCAGTGTGTTCGAGGTTTCACAGCAAAACAAACCGGGAAAAAAAAAACTGCTGCATTCCTCCGACCATCACTAGGGCTAGACTGGGTGGGGGTTGCATAGCGAAACGGAACAATCGCCCAGGTGAAACGGGTCGAACGTGTATCGAAGAGCGAAATTTATGGGTGTTTACGTAGTGACATATACTCAACTGCTGGGTCGAATGTGTGTATAATGCTTGAACTCTGCATCGTCGAACGGAAGTGATTACCCCCGGGGGTGAAAACTGTGTCAACTCGGCCATTTTCAGCACTTACCGACGAAACCTCGGCTTAGGAACTTTTCGGGTCGCACCAAAGTGAACATCGCCTGAAAACTGCTCATAAAATAAGTGCATCCGACGAGTCTTATCGCGTGAGAAAAGTGGAAAGCCTTCTGGAGGTAATATCCTAAATCAACACTTGGCGAACGGAACATCATTGCCCCTTCTGGAAAGGACGAACCAAGAGAAGATATATTTGAGTAAAAACCGGGTTAAAAGCAGACGTAGAATTTCTGATAAACCCTTTGAAAGTGGGAGTCAACTGGCGGAAGCTCGAAAAAAAGGTGAATGCGAAAGAAGAAAACAGCAAAGGGAAGTTTACTACACTGCATCTTTTCTGCGGTTTTAAGCTGACTCGCTGTGCAAGGGAAAAGGTGGATGGAAAAGTGTGAAAGTTTGTTCCCACTATTTTTTAATACCGTTATTATTACCCACGTTCGGTGCGGTGGAGGCTCCTACGAGCGGAAGAGTGTGTTATAGGGAGGTAAAAGTGTGGAGTGGAGTGAAATTCTTCATGGCTCACGGCTGAGCTGCGTGCTGTGCGCCCGATGTGAAGGTAAATTCAATAAAAAGAATAATTAATGCAATCTGTGAAAACACGCCGGCGAGTGGGCAGAGATAAACGGGCAAGTTGAACAAATTTCGCTATCGGAAGTTGAACGGAAGACCGTCGTTTCTTCGTTCAGTTGTAGCCAGCAGGTGGAATAAAAAGGTAATTTAAATATATTTTCTTTCTTTTTTCTTCGTGACTAGTTTCAAGGTTAACGATAAGAAGTTTCGAACTGCAATAAGAAATATGATTGGTGGCAGTGTCGTTAATCAGAAGAGTTCCTCTGTGACGATGATGAAAGCAAATTTATTTCTTTCGTAAGCTGAGTTGGGATGTAGTTGATGTCAGTTTTTATCGACGGAATTTTACAACTTTGTAAGAGAAGTTGCTGAAGACAGTGATGATCTTGACAAAGTGATGTCATACTTAAGAAGTTGAAGCAATTTTACTGTTATTATACGGCGTTAAAATGAAGGGATTCGTCTGAAAGCAACTGTTTTGGGGATTTGAAATTCATCCACCAAGCAAAGAAACCGTTTCTCTTTTCCGGAGTGTTTATTTGAGCATCGCTTGTTTGAAGCTGTTTAAGTTATGGGATCTCAGATCAGTTAAGGCACGAACGGCCGGAAATTTTCTTGTATCAACTTAGTGTGCTTTGATCACTGCCATAGTTATTCATTAAGGGTTTTCTTAGCTTTCAACATAATCGTCTGCTGTGTACTAGTGGTACGTTGTGTAAAGGCTTATCAATACTTTTAGATAGTGGTGTTATTATTTTTTTTAATAATAGAAATTTTATCACATTTGGATTGTCTGGGTAAATAATATGACCTCGTGACCATTAGGGGCTCATCTTATTTCACTTTTAAATAGATGAGAGGGTATGTAAGATTATGTGGCAAGCAATGTTTTACGTTTAAGAAAAAACAATGTGACGAAATGGGGGAGGGGAGTATTTTTGTTTACTATATTTAGCGTGATATTATTAATGCATGGCTCCTTAGCGTGAGAGGCATGGATGCAAACCACTACGCTTGGCCCGTCCACAAAACCCTGTGTGATTTGATCTTCTTATCCTGGGATGGTAGGTGCTTGCATAAACGTGGTGACCAATCACTTCCACAAATTTTTGAATAGTTTTTCAACAGGATTCACATAAAGGAGTATTGATTTTATCGCCAAGCCACTCAATTGTGACACATCGAAAATGGTCTCGATTTTGGCAACAAAGATGAAGTACAGTCAACTCTCAACAACTCGATGTCCACTAGCTCGATATCGAGCTATATAATCATAATAAAAAAGAGTGTCATGGCTACTGCGATAGCGAATTTGTATGGGATTGTTATTCTATTCCTCGATAATTCTATAAGTCGTACACTGTAGTTACGTTTCCAAAATCGTGAACTGTCTATACTGCCATTATATTAGGAAAGTTTTGAATCACTTCAGAAAGCACTGAATAACTTGAGAAAAGCTTAGGATCACTTTGGAAAGTACTGGACCATTTCAGAAAAAAATAGCTCGTACAGAACAACTTCGAACTGTACTAAATTTTACAAAAGTTATAAATTACTTCGGAAAGATTGGAAACACTGGATCCGTGTATTCAGCTCATAACATATTTAATAACTTCAGAAAAGTTTGAGTTCAGGAGGGAAAAATGTTGAATCACTCAAAGATAGATTCACTTCCGAAAGTGTTAAATTCTCTGGTCAGGTTTAACACTTTCGGCAGTAATGTAACGAGTTCTTGGGAACGTCTAAAACATGAACCTGATATAAACGTAGAAACCTAGCACTGAAACAGTAAACGTACAGGTACAGGTTTCCAAAGGTTTCCAAAGGTAACATCAATTGTAATATCTCTTGTTCTTGTTTCAAATATTTGCGTAGTGATGAATGCGTTATTGACACGCACATATGCTCGAGGAGTTTGGCATTCCACTTTGGCTAAAAGAAGCAAAGGTTGGGTTCACGAGGTTCCTTTGCGAAAGTAAGGTTAACACATGGGATGTGCCATTTTGCATTATTCTACATACATTTTTATGGTTGCTGTTCTTTTATGCTGGCGATTGATTCATCCTATCTTTTTTTTTTTTCCTTTGGTTTGTTTTTTTCGTCGATCTTGTTTTCCGTGCTTATTCCGATTTATTTGATGTTTATTGCATGGAATTAAAAGATAAAAATGAAGACTGACCACTCATAAGCATTGATGTTATAATTATGCGTAAATAAGGGAGTTGGTAATTTACTGTCACACGCAAGCCTGCAGCTAAAATTTCATTACAATAAACTGTTTGGAAAAATCAGGCTGCGAGATTTTATTTATTCTCTATCTACGCTGTTCGCTTGGAATGTAGTTATAAACGGCCGCCCGTGTGCTGGCTGTTTTGTTTCGCTCTGGACGATGGTTTTTCAAAAAATGTACTGTTGCCACCTCTGCTCAAAACATCCCGGCGGCGCCGACTGGGATTGAACCCAGGCCTGCTGGGGTGAGAGGTAATCACGCTTACCACTACACCACCGGCGCCGTTAATTCATACTATCTTAACAGCAGTCATAAATTATAACTACTCAATATTTCACAAATCCACCTCCTCCACACACTTCGAAAATCCTTATTTTACACGTGATGGAATCCATCTTTGACATAAAGGATGACACGTTAACAAACATGTCATGTAAAATTAAGTGCTCCGAGAATGAAAAGTTTGTTACTCGACGAAACGTACGTTTGATTGAGCTGAATTTCGCGTCTATCATGACTTAATTTTATGTCAAAATTGACGCTCGTATATGTCAGTCTCAGCACCTACTTTTACATGAATTTTTCTAAGTGTGCAGCATAAATCGAACAGCTACGTACAAACCAAATTGGTAATGATTTATAAAACGCCAGAGGTATTCTGAGTAAAACACATAAAGCGAATCCATATATATGTATCTTAATTATTTGTTTTTCGATTTCAACTATCATCGTATCCATAATCTTCCTCTTATTTAGCCTAGTACTTACTTGATACTTGATGGGCTACGAATCGCCAGGTTGATTCAACGCCGAACGAAGTACTCTTCTCCATTGGACTCGGTCCTGAGCCAATCGCTTCCAGTCGCCATGAACGTTTAGCGACCTGATGTTCTCCTCAACTGCAAATAGCCAACGTGTCCGAGGTCTACCCCGGAGTCGACGACCTCTACCGGGTTCTCTGCTGAATATAATATTTGCTTGTCGTTCTTCCGGCATCCGCACTACATGCCCAGCCCACCGTAGTCTGCCGTGTTTTATAAGCTTCACTATATCCGTACCGTTATACACTTGGTACAACTCGTGATTCATGCGACGCCGCCAGATGCCATTCTCCTGTTTACCGCCGAGTATTGTTCGCAGCACCTTACGCTCGAAGACACCAAATGCTCTCCGGTCAGACTCTTTTAACGTCCACGATTCGTGGCCGTAGAGGGCTACCGGAAGTATCACCGTCTTATACAGAGCGAATTTCGTTTTCGTTTGCAGGCTACGGGACTTCAGCTGGCTACGTAATCCGTAAAAGGCCCTGTTTGCAGCTGCAATACGTCTCTTCACCTCACGGGTAACATCATTATCGCATGTCACTAGTGTTCCAAGATACACAAATTCTTCCACTACCTCAAATTGTTCACCATCTAACAACACTACACTACCAACACCACTATTGCTCCCACGCTGTCTACCGGCTACCATGTACTTCGTTTTGGTAGAACTTATCGTGAGCCCAATCCTCGCCGTCTCCCTCTTAAAAGGCACAAACGCCTCTTCCACTGCTCTACGGTCAATTCCGATGATATCGATGTCGTCCGCAAAGGCAAGGAGCATGTACGATCGTGTGATGATGGTACCGTTCCTCTGCACACCAGCTCTCCTAATCGCTCCTTCAAGAGCAATGTTGAACAGTAAGTTTGAAAGTACATCACCCTGCTTCAATCCATCTAAGGTCACGAACGAGGTCGAAATCTCATCTGCAACCCTTACACTTGATTTCGATCCATCTAGCGTTGCGCGAATCAGTCTAATTAGTTTCGCCGGAAAACCATGTTCTAGCATAATCTGCCAAAGCTCATTTCTCTTCACTGAATCGTATGCTGCTTTGAAATCAATAAACAGATGGTGAGTCTGCAAGTTGTACTCCCAGAATTTATCAAGGATTTGACGCAGGGTAAACATTTGATCCGTCGTTGATCGGCCCTCACGAAAACCAGCCTGGTATTCACCGACGAAGGACTCCTCAAGCGGTCTCAATCTGTTAAACAGAACGCGTGACAGTATTTTGTACGCCGAATTCAGAAGAGTTATTCCTCGATAATTGGCGCACTGGAGTCTGTGCCCTTTTTTGAATAATGGGCAAATGAGGCCATCCAACCAGCTAGCAGGCAGTTCTTCGTCCTCCCATATCTTCGTTAGAATACGGTGGATTGCTTGATGCAGCTGCTCACTTCCGTGTTTGAAAAGTTCGGCCGGGAGCTCGTCCTTCCCAGCAGCCTTATTGTTTTTCAGCTCACGTAAATATCGCCTTTTTAACCTCGTCTAGCGTTGGAGGCTCCACAGCTTGATCGTCGTCTGCGATGTTTACTCTGTTCCTCGATCCTCCCTCACTCTCTCCATTCAACAATGTCTCAAAATGTTCTTTCCACCTGGCAGCCACCATTGTTTTATCTGTCAGCAAATTCCCCTCAAGGTCATTGCACATGGCGGGAGATGGCGCTGTTTTACTCCGCACACCATTGACAGTCGCGTAGAACCTTCGCATATCGTTCTGTTCCATACTTTCTTGCGCCTCAGCAATCACGCGTTCTTCGTATTGCCTTTTCTTTCTGCGGTGGGTTCGTTTCTCATCTGCCCTTGCTACCTTGTACCGCTCTCTGTTCAGCCGGGTACCAGACACTAACATCCGGCTTCTGGCAACGTTCTTCTCATCCGTCAACCTCTGGCACTCCTCATCAAACCAGCCATTACGTGGTCGTCTTTGAGCTGTACCTATCACTTCTTGTGCTGTTGTGTTCACCGCTCCGTGGATTGTGTTCCACAGATTGTTGAGGTCCTCGTTCACGTTGATTTCGCTAATCCGCTCATCAAGCTTCTGGCGGTACTCTGCAGCAACACCTTCTACTGACAAGCGATGGATA